AGATGGTTTGCGTGAGTTGATTCTCTAGGAGGCTCACAGTTTGCGTTACTCCATTCATCCAGGTGCCGTGAAGATGTATCAGGATTTGAGGCAATACTATTGGTGGAGGTGATTGAAGAAAGATATAGTTGGGTTTGTAGCTCAGTGTTTAAGTTGTCAACAAGTAAAGTACGAGCATCAAAGACGGGGCAGATTACTTCAGAGAGTGGAAATTCCGGAGTGGAAGTTGGAGCGTATTACCATGGACTTCGTAGTTGGGCTCCCACGGACCTTGAAGAAGTTTGATGTTGTTTGGGTGGTTGTAGACCAGTTAACCAAATCCGCGCATTTTATTCCAGTTGGTACTAATTATTCTTCAAAGCGGTTGGCTAGGATTTATATCTGCGAGATTGTTCGCCTACACGGTGTGCCAGTGTCCATCATTTCAGATCGGGGCACACAGTTTACATCACAGCTACCAATCGAGCATCCAGATGGCTCTGTATGAGGCTTTATATAGGAGACGGTGTCGGTCTCTAGTGGGTTAGTTTGAGCCCGGTGAGGCTAGGCTATTGGGAACAGACTTGGTCCAGGATGCTTTGGAGAAGGTCAAAATGATTCAGGAACGGCTTCGCACGGCGTAGTCTAGACATATGAGTTTTGCCGACAGAAAGGTTCGTGATGTTGCTTACATGGTTGGGGAGAAGATTCTGCTCAAGATTTCACCCATGAAGGGTGTCTTGAGGTTCAGGAAGAAGGGCAAGTTGAGCCCTCGGTACATTGGGCCTTTCGAGATACTTAAGAAGATTGGAGAGGTGGCTTATGAACTTGCTTTTCCACTTAGTCTATCAGGTGTTCATCCAGTGTTCCATGTATGCATGGTCCGAAAGTATGTCGGGGATCCGTCTCATATTTTGGATTTTAGTACAGTACAGCTAAACGGTAATTTGACTTATGATGTGGAGCCGTTGGCTATTTTAGCAGTCGGAGAATCTACTTGTGAGATTGAGCAGGAGATGCGGAGCAAGTATCCACACCTATTTGAGACTCCAGGTATGATTCCAAACCCATTCGAGGACGAACGTTTGTTTAAAAGGGGGAGAATGTAACGACCCGACCGGTCGTTTTGAGTATTATGACCATGTTCCCCTATTTACTGCTCAAGTTATGCTTTACATTTATTTTGTGTCTTATCGTGTTAGTTGGTTCGGGTCCGGAAGGATTTCGGAGTGAAATGAGATATTTAGTCTCATAATTAAAAATTTAACTTAGGAAAGTTAACCAGATATGTACTTGTGTGTAAACGACCTCAAATTTGAATTCCGATGATTTCAATAGCTCCGTATGGTAATTTTGTACTTAGGAGCTTGTCCGAAAAATAATTTGGAGGTCCGTAGTGGAATTAGGCTTGAAATGGCAAAAGTTGAACTTTTGGAAAGTTTGACCCGGTTGACTTTTTGATATCGGGGTCGGAATTTGATTCTAGAAATTTGAATAGGTACGTTATGTCAATTATGACTTACGTGCAAAATTGGGGGTCAATCGGACGTGATTTGATAGGTTCTATTGTCGTTTGTAGAATTTGGAAATTTTAAAGTTCATTAGGCTTGAATTGGGGTGTGATTTGTATTTTAGCATTGTTGGATGTGATTTGAAGGATCGACTAAGTTCGTATGATGTTTTGGGACTTGATGGTGTATTTGGTTGAGGTCCGGGGGGACTCGGGTGAGTTTCGATTGGTGAACGAATCGAATTCGGACTTAGAAGAGAAATCTAAAAGTTTCTGCCATCTGATGTAATCACACATGCGAAAATTGGCTCGCAGGTGCGAGCTCGTTGAAGGGAGCCTGGAAAGCGCAGATGCGGATAGGGGGTTGTGAGGCAGTGGTCGCAGGTGCGAGGGAATTTCCGCACATGCGCGATCGCAGATGCAGACGGATGGGCGCATAAGCGGATAGAGCCTCGCAAATGTGAGCCCGCAGAAGAGGCTGCTAGCTTGTAGAAGTGGCTGCTAGCTCGCAGAAGCGGCTCCAGTGGAGGCGTTGGCAAACCGCAGAAGTGGTTGATTTCTCGCACCTGCGAGACAACATAAGCAGCTAAGTGAGTCGCAGGTGATGAACCCCTAAACAGTATACATTTCGAAGGGTTCCGAGTTTTGCCATTTTTGGACCTTCAAGCACGGTTTGTGGGGCGCTTTTCAGAAATAATTCAAGGGAAACATGAGGTAAGTCACTTGTGATTATTTCTACTTCATAATATTGAATTATCATCGAATAATCTGACTAGATTACGTGTTTTTGGGGTGTAAATCGGAGATTTGAACCTAAGGATTTGAAAATAAGAATGGAGGATATAGAGGTTTAGTTGATGTTGGAATCTAGTAAAATTGGTATGGTTGGACTCGTGGTTAAATTGGCTTTCGGATTTTGTAACTTTTGTCGGGTTCAAAGACGTGGGCCCCACGGGCGATGTTTTAGTTAAATTTTGGATTTTATTGAAATATTAGCATTTCCTTATGGAATTAATTTCAATAATTTGTATTGACTTAATCAAATTAATTGTGGCTAGATACGAGGGTTTCAGAGATCAATTCACGAGGCAAGGGCACAACGGATTAAGAAATTACGCAGTTTCAGGTAAGTAACCCTTCTAGACTTGGTTCTGAGGATATGAGTTCCCGAATTAGTGGTATATAAATTATGTGAAGGTGACACACACGATAGTTGACGAGCGTGTGGATATGAACCATTGACATTGTGACTTGAATAAATTTTGTGAAGTTGTAAAAATTAAAGAATCATGTTATAATCTGAATATTTTTCCATGTGTTAGAGAAATTGAGCTGAGGCTCTTAATAAAGATCATGTTTAGGCTACGTGCCAATATTTTGGGACACATGGGGTCGTATTGCATATTAAATTAAACGTTTTAAAAATTTATATTTTATACTCAGTCATATTCATCCATTGTGAGGATATTTATGGATCGAGTTGCGCATCGCAGCAGGCCATATTGGCCTTATATATATTATTATTATATAGATCGAGTTGCGCACCGCAGAAGGCCTTATAGGCTTTATCATTGTTATGGGCACCGCAACAAGCCTTATAGTCTTTATTATTATTATGGGATCGTACTGCACGCTGCAGTAGGCCATATCGTCTTTATATAGCACTTGGGCTGAAGGAGCCCCTCCAGAGTCTGTACACACCCCCAGTGAGCGTTGATGATTATATATTCGGGATGGACCTCCCAGGGCACGGACATGCCTTACCTATTTATATTGTGATGCATTTTCCCTGGACATGGATCTTGTCCGTAACATTTACATTTGGGGATAAATTACCCCAGGGCTGGATTGTCCTTATATGGTACTGAATGACTGACTGTCAGTCGATGTGTATATATATATACGGGATGGAATATCCCTGGGCAAAATTGGGCATCAATAGTACCAAGTGACCGAATAATTTGTGTCCGTTTTTTACATGAGGTCTTTTTACTCAGATTTCATATTCCTCATATCATGCAGTGTTGATCTATTTCAATTGTTTAACTGTTGAACTTGAAAGCATGCCTACATTTATTTACCATTATTTATACTGGACTGTAGCTGCGGAGCTCGTCACTACTTTCAGCCCAGATGTTAGTTTTGTTACTTATTGAGTTGGTTATACTCATACTACACTCTGCACCTCGTGTGCAGATCCAGGTGCTCCCGGATACAGCGGCTGCTAGTTTTCAGAGTTATTTCTGTTGGGGACTATCAAAGTAGCTGCTTGACGTCCGCAGACTTGTTTCCTTTCGTGTTTTGTTATTGTACTGTTCTATATTTTCAAACAGTGATTTTATTAGTCAGACTTTGTATTCATTTAGATGCTCATGTACTCAGTGACACCGGTTTTCGGATTGATTATATCTGTATTATGAGATTTCTTTCGTTGAATTTAAATATTATATTTTTCAAACTTAAAAGATATGGTAGTTTATTGGGATTGTCGGCTTGCCTAGTATTGAGATAGGCGCCATCATGACAGGAGAGATTTTGGGTCGTGACAAGCAAATAAACGATTAGGTACTTTTGTGGTTAGCTTGTACTAGGGGTACGAGTCCTCTGTAATATATTGTCAACCCAGATGGCTTAATGATTTATTGGATCCAATCAGTTGTTTTATAAGAATTTAGTTGCTTAGATATATTAACTAACCTACTTTCTCTACTTTTTGGTATAACTATTGCATATGGGAGCTTTTCCTAATATCAATAAGATAACTTACCATTTCAAAAAATAAAAAGATAAACCTACTTATAAAAAAAAGATATATTGATAAACCAGTTTATTATTAGTGATCTACTTGAGTACTCGTTTCTTGCCCCCAACTTCAGAGGCAAAGTGAAATCCTACTGCACTATCTCTATTTGTAATAATTGCTGAATCCCTTAATAACAATGACACTGAAGAAAAGTCGTGAGAGAGTTTGATATCATGAGAATAACACTGTAGCTTGCATCTAAACTACCTACAGGTTCTCAGAGCTCTACATCATCAAACACTTACAAATATTTACCCTTTCATCAAAAATATCATCAAACATATCCCAAATCAGAACTTGAACCACATAACTTTAGTTGAATAATTGTTTTAGATATTTTCATTAGACTTGCACATTCTTCTCAATTTTAACAACGTCTTCCCAGTGGCCAATAGAGAGTAGAGGAACGATGGAAGTTTCTGGTGCATTCTTATTCTAATCCACTTTATTTTTATTGGACAGAGAATCAAGACTTTTCATGAACTAATGTTTCGTTCAAAACTTGGGAAGATTAATGCTCGGTTAAGAAAGGAAGGGCTGATAAGTACCTTATCCTCTTCTCTTTTATGGTCCAAACATTTTGGTCTTGTAGGTGTTTCGTTCAAAACTTGGGGAGATTAATGCTCGGTTAAGAAAGGAAGGGCTGATAAGTACCTTATCCTCTTCTCTTTTATGGTCCAAACATTTTGGTCTTGTAGGTGTTTGTGGTGGTTCGAGTCTTGTGGTGTGGATATATTATAATAACAAAATTAACCTGGATAGGATTGAATCTAGAGTGGTTAATCTCGTAAAGCGGCATGACTCGATGTAAGTTCATAGAATTTCTGATTTTGAGTTAAACATTTATTTGTTTTTATTGGTAATGTAATGACATTAAATAATGTTCATCACATGCACAAGGATTTCCGGAGGAAAGAAAACATAGCTGAATGTGAAATTGTAAAAGCAACACTTTTACGTTATCCAAAGATTTCTGATACACCAGTAATATTCTTCCTCCTTGCATTTTGTGCTCAGTTTCTAGCTGACCATTCATGTTAAGAATTTCACTAATGTTCCCTCCGTCCCGTTTTATAAGATGATGTATGACTGGACACAAAGTTTAAGAATGAATTTTTTTTTTTGAAACTTGTGGTCTTCAACAAGACATAGAAATTTTTGTGTCTATAAATCATCACATTAAGGGTATAATGAGAAGTTTAAAGTTAAATTATTACTAATTATAAAAATGTATCAGTTTTTGGGACGTGCCAAAAATGAAGAGTATCATATATATTGGGACAGAGAGAGTAAACTTTTTTATTTGTTTGTGAAGTTTTGCTTGGATGATAAGATTTATATTTCTTTTTCTTCTTTTTTCCTTTTCTTTAGGCAATGTTACTTGAGCTTTTAATAAGATATTTTGTCTTCAGGTAGGGCTAGTTGCCTTGGTGGTTGAGGATGAAGAAGGAGAAGGAGAAGGAAAGGAGAAAAAGAATAAAAACAAGGAGGAGGTGAGTGAATGAATTATCGCAATTATGTGAATGTTAGATCAGAAATGGCAGTTTTTTATTTTTCTCATATCACTTTTAAACCTTCATCTTTATTAGTGGTGTTTTCAATCTATAGAATACACCAGATTGGTCGCAGGTCTTGACCCTCAAGAAAACAACCGAAGAAAAGATTACAAAAGGTAGCAAATGGATTTCTTGATATCCCTTCATTAACATTGTTTGTTTTATCCCTTCATTAATATTGTTTGTTTTGCTTTTTCTAAAACAGAGGGAGTTATTGGCATTGGAGCTGTTGGAGTTTTGCTTGGGGTAGCTTTTGCATCTGCTTTCTTCTGCGAGGATTAATTTGCATTGGAACCATTTTCTTGTTGCTCTTATTTCTTATCCTTTAAAGTCATTACGTAACTTTAATGATTTTAGATCATTATGATCTCTTCCCCGGACCCCGCGCACAGCAAAAGCTTAGTGCACCGAGTTTTTCTTTCCTATTTCTTATCCTTTAAATTCATTACGTAACTTTAATGATATTAGTCATCCAATTTTGGCGTAGTATGTTTTGTAAGAATAGAACAAGTTTCTTTGTAAGATTTGAATACATCGATTTCCTTGTGTGTCACGACCCCAAATTTCCTCCGTAGGATATCGTGATGGCACCTAGTCTCTAAGACTAGGTAAGCCTATCAATGCGAAATAACAACAGAAATCGAAAATAAATAAATCTGCAATTCACATAATTACAACTCCCAAAACTAGGTAGGAATAAGTCACAAGCTTCTAAAAGTTTATCCTTAGTGTATCTGTCACGACCCGAAATTCCCACCTTCGGACCGTGATGGCGACTAACATTTCTCTTGCTATGCAAGCCAACGTTAGAATAATATTATTCATTTCTAAAATAATTTTTAAACTTATTTATAACAAAGAACAAATGCGGAAGTAAAGTTCAAAATATAGTGAATAATCCATAAAAATAACGGTGTCGAAATACCATCCCAGAATTGGTGTCACAAGTACACGAGCTTCTAGAATAATACAAAAGAGGGTCTGAATAAAATAAAGCTGTCTGAAAATAAACACACAGCTAAAGTAAAGTAGACGGGGACTTCAAAAACTGCGGACGCCATGCAGTTATACCTCAAGTCTCCTCTAGTAGCTGAAGTCCGACCAAGTCTATGGTAAGCCGCTGGGACAAACTTCAAAATCTGCACAAGAAGTACAAAGTATAGTATCAGTACAACCGACCCCATATACTGGTAAGTGCTGAGCCTAACCTCGACGAAATAGTGACGAGGCTAAGGCGGGTCACTTACATTAACATGTACGCTATATTAGTAACAAGAAAAAATAATAGAAATAAATCAGATAACTCATTTATAATAATTGAATCCAACCCAGCAATCATAATCCATTATTAGTTCAACCAATTTTCGCTATAACGTGCAAACCGCTCCCACAATATATTAATTTTCAATGCTCTCATATATTTGTTTTAATCAAGTATATATAGACTTTTAAATAAGTCTGCTGCGGCGTCCAATCCGATCCCCCAATATTGACTTTTAAATAAATCTATCTGATCCCCCAATATATAAATAAGTCTATCTGTTGCGGCATGCAATCTGATCCCCCAATATATATATATATATATATATATATATATATATTTGCTTTCATTTCTGCTATAGCGTGCAAACCGCTCCCTCAATATATAATTCAATCAATTTTGTTGCGGCATGTAACCCGCTCCTCTAATATATCCATTTATCAATTCTTATAGAAGAAATTGAACCAATAAATACACCAATTAATACAAAATTTTAAGACAACAAGCATACAATAATTATGATTTAATTATGAAACAAACAATGACAAATAACATTTTATTATGGAAATCAGGGAGAAAATAGGCAGTTACTATTTAATATGCTAAATGTCAAGTAGTAATTAATACACATAAATCAAATAGCATGTAACAATTATTGCAAGAATTCAAGAATTAATATTTGTCAAAGAATATGAAAGAGATAATTATTAAAACAATTAATTCGTGCCTTAGAACAATTTATGACTTTAATTTGACGACGTATAGACACTCGTCACCTCGCCTATACGTCGTTCACATGCACTTCACATAACAAATAGTTTAATGGTTCTATTCCCTCAAGTCAATATTAACAACGACACTTACCTCGCTTTGCAAATTCCATTCAATTACTCCACCACAAATTTTCCTTTTAAACTTGTCTCTAAAATCTTTAAATCTATTCACAAACAATTCGATATACTCAATACGAATCATAGGAATTAATTCCATATGAATTTACTAATTTTTCGGATAAAATACGAAATTTATTTAAATATTCGACAGTGGAACCCATGTCTTAAATCCCGGAAAAAAATCACGAAATCCGAATACCTGTTCCGCTACAAGTTCAACCATACAAAAATTATCTAATTCTGATGTCAAATGGACCTTCAAATCTTAAATTTTCGTTTTTGGAAGATTTTATAAAAATCTAATTTTTCTTCCATAAATTCACGAATTCATGATGTAAGTGAGTATGGAATCATGAAATTTAATTAATATACGATAAGGAACACTTACCCCAATGTTTTCCCGTGAAAATCGCCCAAGAATCGCCTTACCAGAGCTCAAAAATGGGACGAATCCCATTTTCCAGAACTTAAGTTCTGTGTGCCCAAACTTTTTCCTACGCGATCGTGTACAATGCTTCGCGATCGAGAAGCACATTTTTGGCTGCCCAGTTTTTCTTAATCGCGCTCGCACGAATAGCCTCGTGATCGCAAAGCTCTACTTTCCTGCCCCATAAATTTACTCCATGCGAACACGATGCTTTGCCTCACAGACTTACGCGATCGCGAACGACCTCACGTGATCGCGATGAGTAAGCGCGTGGCTCAGCTTTAGCCTCTTTAACTCTACACGAACGCGACCTTGTCCACGCGTTCGCGAAGTACCACTTCACATCCCTATGCAATCGCATCCTCAAATTCGAGAACGCGAAGAGTAACTTTGGCTGACCTCTCAGTTTGACTTATGCGATCGCGATGAGTAAAAATTCTGCAACAAAACACTGGAAATCTACCATCTTTCTTAAGTCCAAAATGGCTCGTTCAGCATCCGAAACTCACCCGAGCCCTCGGGGCTCAAAACAAAACATGCCCACAAGTTCTAAAATATCATACGAACTTGCACGCGTGATCAAATCGCCAAAATAACACCTAGAACTACGAATTGAACCCCAAATTGAATAAAACTTTCATGAAAACTTTTAAACTTATATTTTCACAACCGAACGTCCGAATCACGTCAAATCAACTCTGATTCTCACCAAATTCGGTAGACAAGTCATAAATATTACAGTGGGTGTATACCGGGTTCTAGAACTAAAATACGGACCAGGTGTCAATAAATCAAACATCAGTAACTTCTTAAGAATCATTAATCTTTCAAACTTTTAATTTTTCATCAAAATTCCACATCTCGGGCTAGGGACCTTGGAATTCAATTGCGGGCATACGCCCAAGTCCCAAAATCACGATACGGACCTACTGAAATTGTCAAAATACTGATCCGAATCCGTTTGCTCAAAATGTTGACCAAAGTCATCTCAATTGAGTTTTAAAGCTCTATTTCATATTTTAATCCATTTTTCACATAAAATGTTTTCGAAAAATTGTACAGACTGCACACGCAAGTCGAGGAATTATAATTAGTGCTTTTCAAGGTCTTAGAACACATAATTACTTATTAAATTTAAAGATGACATTTTGGGTCATCACATTCTCCACATCTAAAACAAACGTTCGTCCTCGAACGGAGTTAGAAAAGGTACCTGAGCTAGAGAAAAGGTGTGGATGTTTACTCCGCCTGTCCAACTCGGACTCCCAGGTAGATGACTCTACCAACTGGCCTCTCCATTGCACTTGAAATGAAGGATAACTCTTAGACCTCAATTGTCGAGCCTGCCAGGCTAGAATAGCCACCGGCTCCTCCTCGTAAGTCAAATCTTTGTCCAATTAGACTGAGCTAAAATTTAACACATGGGACGGATCACCATGATATTTACGGAGCATAGACACATGGAACACCGGATGAACCATTGATAAACTAGGTGGTAATTCAAGCCTATAGGCTACTTTACCTACCCTTTCATGAATTTCAAAAGGTCTGATATACCTAAGGCTCAACTTACCCTTCTTTCCGAACCTCATTACACCTTTCATAGGTGACACCCAGAGCAATATTCTTTCTCCAACAATGAATGCAATATCATGAACTTTACGGTCCGCATAACTCTTTTTCCTAGATTGAGCTGTGCGAAGTCGATCCTGAATAACCTTGAACTTATCCAAGGCATCCTATACCAAATCGGTACCCAACAACCGAGCCTCTCCCGGTTCAAACCAACCAACTGGCGATCGGCATCGCCTTCCGTATCATGCCTCATATGGAGCCATCTGAATGCTCAACTGGTAACTATTATTATAAGCAAACTCCGCAAGTGGCAAGAACTGATCCCAAGAACCTCCAAAGTCTATAACACAAGCGCAAAGCATATCTTCCAATATCTGAATAGTGCGCTATGACTGTCTGTCTGTCTGTGGATGAAATGTTGTACTCAACTCAACCCACGTAGCTAATTCACGTTGTACAGTCCTCCAGATGTGTGAGATAAATTGTGTACCTCAATCTAAAATAATAGACACGAGCACTCCGTGTAGGAAGACAATCTCATGAATGTAAATTTTAGCTAACCTCTCTGAAGAATAGGTAACTACCACTAGAATGAAATGTGCTGACTTGGTCAACCAATCCGCAATTACCCAAACTACGTCAAATTTTCTCTGAGTCCGTAGAAGTCCAACAACAAAATCCATAGTGATACACTCCCATTTCCACTCAGGAATTTCTAACTTCTAAAACAAACCACCATGTCTCTGATGCTCGTACTTAACTTGCTGACAATTCAGACATTGAGCTACATATGCAACTATATCCTTTTTCATTCTCCTCTACCAATAATTTTGCCGCAAATATTGATACATTTTAGCGGTACCTGGATGAATAAAATACCTGGAACTGTGTGCCTCTTCAAGAACTAATTCACGAAGCCTGCCAACATTAGGCACACAAATATGATCCTGCATTCGTAGAACTCTATCTTCCCCCTCAGCAACATGTTTGGCATCACCATGCCGCACTGTGTCCTTAAGGACAAGTAAATGAGGATTATCATACTGCCTCTCTCTGATGCACTCATATAAAGAAGACCGAGCGACTGTGCCAGCTAGAACCTGACTGTGTTTCAAAACATCTAACCTCACAACTAATTAGCCAACATCTGAATATCTGCAGCTAACAGCCTCTCACCAACCGGAATATATGCAAGACTGCCCATATTCACAACCTTTCTACTCAAAGTATCAGCCACCACATTGGCCTTTTCGGGGTAATACAAAATGGTGATATCATAGTCTTTCAACAATTCTAGCAACCTTCTCTGCCTCAAATTAA